ATAAACTGTCCGTGCTATGTGAACATGCAAATCTTAATATACTCCGTCTGCCTCAAGTATGAACTAAGCCAGGGGATCCTCAAACCTGCATCTAGATCCCTCTATTTGTCTTTTTGCACTTGTTCGACCAAATCTCGACAGATACCAACGGGTGCCATGACCGAGAGGAAAGAACCTGATCTACACCCGCCAGGCCGGAGCACCGTCTCCCCCCCAAAATCACCCTCAGCGCTAGCTCGAGCCGTGTGCGAGATCCCCCTACCCTGGCGTCTGCTTTGGGGTGCTCTCCCCTAGCTCCTCGGCGCCTGGCTGGGCAAACACGAGCTCGCTGTACATGATGCAATGCAGCTGTTTTGGGAAGGGGGGTTCGGTCCCCACACACAGAAAGGTGAGAAACCTGAAACAACGACACTGAAGCTGAAGGTGCGGCGAGGCGAAGCTGCTGCTTTGATGAAGCGTTCATGCCTTTCGTTTTTCAGGGAGAGGGAGAGGAGGCAGGACCGCCGTGTCATGCGTGCTGGTTTCGCGGGCCTGGTCAGTGTTCACCTCTTTGCAATTGGCACCGCCGAGCCGGAGCAGTCGGAGCAGGTCTTGGCGAGTCTCGAAGGTGTATGGTGAGAGTGGAGTGGGAGGGCCCAGGGGAGTTTGCCAAGAGAGGGGAGTCGTCTTGGGCGGCTATGTACATGGCCATGGGCGAGAGGAGATGCGACCCCGGACTGGACTTGGGAATTGACCCTGGTACGTGATGGCGGCGCTGAGGTGCGCTGGCGGAATGTACTTTTGGGAAGGCGGGCAAGCGGTGCGCAAGGGAGCGAGAGTCGGTCAGCTTCAATGTACCGAACCCGATGGTTGGATCGGTGAGAGGTTCTCGTCGTCGAATCCGCGTGCGTTGTGGGAGTGTGGCCTGCTCATTATGTTATATCTGACATTGCTGGCATTCAATCATGTGAGAAAGCAGGGCTGCAGGTGAAATGCGGAGAACAGTAAATTCGTAAGGATTTCGATGGTATCGCTAGCTACACCTTGCCGCCTGCCGATTCGCTATTCATCGGCTCCCAATAAACGAGGCCAGATCTCTGGCGTTTTCGTCCCAAAACTGAAAAAAGAAAGACGAGAAGAAAAAGGGCGAAAGAGGAAAAACCAAACAGAGAGATGAGAATCAACCACAGCTCCTTTCACTCCATGTGCCAGCAGCATTACACCAGGGGTAAGCCGTAGAGAGGAAACCCAGAAACAAGTCTCTAAAATGCAGCTCAATATGTTATGGAAAGAATCGAGAGAAAAGGGGGGGAATCAAGCGATGATAGGATAGTAGAGAGTAACGAATGGGGGATCGTTGGTGTATGAAATCAATAAGTTGCTGATGCTGTAGTGTATAGCTCCGGGGCGCCATTGCGAGAGGAATAGAGGAAGAAGGAAAATTCGTACAGCAATTGTGTAATCATAGGACGTAGCGGCATGTAGATATATATGTGAAAATGGAAAAATCGGAGGGCTCAACGACCAGCAGCGCCCGAGTGAAGCGGTCGATTTGGCCTTCTATTCCTCGAAATCTGATGGAATCGAGAAGGGTAGGCTGGCCAATGACCGCTTTTGAGATTATGGAAAGCTCATGAAAGTGTGCACATTTCATGAGCCGTCGGAATAATCATCCTCTCCATCATCATCTGATGCTGTTGAAACTGGACTGGGGCTTCTCTCTGGTCCACGAGAGCCAGCCCCTTGTCGAATGGCATCGGTGTAACTGGGAACTGGAGGTGAAGAAGTCATGGCGTTTCGGTTGAAGGGAACAATTGTGGCGGCAGACTCGCCCCGATTCCGGTTGATAACCCTGATCAATGGTGTGTTCTCCTCGTCACTGTCAATGCTTTGACGTCGGTTGCCGTCCGAGTCGGAGCCGTGAGGACTTCTGTAGCCTGGTGGCGGATTGGTTGCATCCTCAAGATGCAAATGCAACGGGTTCCCATTGTGGTGCTCTAGATGCGGGGGTGCATTGCTGCTTTCGCCATTGTCTTCGCTTGGGACGAGATGGGCGAGCGAGATATCCGTGGGGCTTCTCTGAGGACCCGGGCTTGTGGGAGGCAGGATTCTGAAGTTGCCACTTCTTGATCGGCCATGTTGGGGAGCAAGATGCTCACCTTGACGAACGACGTACGGAGGAGTGGCAAAAGATTGGCTATGCGGCCTTGCTTGGTTGCCTGTGAATCCGTCCTTGTTTCCAGTTTCCAGCAGAATGCTACCCTGCTCTGAGCCGTATGGGGGCGGTGGTGCTAAGCTGCCCGTCACCGGTGCCAGACCCCATTTCTTGACATTGGCCTCGATGAAGACGAACCCGGCTTGGCCAAAGTTTACATGGATAGTGGCAGGGCCGTTGGCACCGATCGCGGGAAAGAAGTTCTGGCCCTTGAGCCCGTGAACCACCTCCTCCAACTTCTTACCATTTCGAGTGAAGAAGATGGCTCCTGTCCTTGGGCGGTAGCCCACGCCTATTACATCGCCATGAACGTACTGAGGACCGTAGTTCGTCTTGCTGAATGGTTGATTGTATCGGCGGTGGCCTGTAGACTGATAGGCGACGGAATATTTGTGTAGTCCTGGGCACTGCGTTAGTTGTTGTATAACGGAGACAAGAATGGTGAAGGAGGGACTCTCTTACCAGGAAGCCGGAACAGGGGATAAGGCTTTGTTGCCATTCCTATGCTGAGTAGTGTACTTTCGGGCTTATCGTAGATCTTGGCCTCCCAGTAGTAGACGTCGTTCTGCTTGGGCACGGGGAGGTTGGTAAGAACGGTGCACTCGGAATCGAAGAACTCAATCTCCGTCCGGCCTTCGACAAAACAATTGGCGATCTCGAGTTCTGGTTCAAATTCCCACGCTGAAACGCCCTTTTCCTGGATCGCCAGATACTGCGATAGTGAGATGTCGGTCTGCGCTGATTCCGGCGGGTTGGCGGTGACGAAAGCTGTTTCGTAGGTTAGCAGATGAACAACTTGGAAACCAGCATCGAGATATCAACGGAGCCACGAGGTTCCGTCCCAATGATCGACACGAATAGGTCTTACCCTTTGCTCTCAAGTATTCTGTTCTGGCCATCTCGTCCATCGTCTCGAGCGCTTCCGCCTCTTCCCTCGCGAATGCCTGTTCATCGTCGTACTCGCCCGGGCGGCCTAACCGATCGAGCAAGATGCGGCCAGATCCAGCACATCCTGAAACCCAAAACACCAGAATGACAAGCGCTAATAATATGATGGAACCAAATGACGATACCAGGCCGATGATTACGCCTGTGAAGGCGGAGGAGGCCGATGACCCCATGATGATCTGAAGCGACGACGGCCGGTCGCCAGGGCGGTGTGGACACGGGAAAGTGTCGGACGACGTATATATTAATGCGTCTCAAGATGGACCAATATCTAGCATCACCACCAAGGGGGAATGGTCGAGTCTTCGAGCAGGCGATCCAACTACCTCAATCGTCGCCGTTATCGTGCAGGGGTAGTAGGGTTGGGCCGGTCCAGAATGACGGCGGCTGGGTCTCGGCTTCACCAGTTCCAGGAATCAGATGGAGACCGATGCAGCATACGCGATGGCGGATTCGAGAGACGCCAAAAAGGCCGCGGGCTTCAGCTGCGCAACAGAGCGAGGCGATCGATCGTGGAAGCGGGTGGGATCGTGTCACCACGGCGGCCCAAGTCGTCGGTGGCGGGTCAGAGGTTAGATGCAGCCAGGCGCCGGGGGAAACGAGCTCGGAGACGAGAAGCGCAGGAGAGTGCGACAAGACAGAAAGACGCGGCGGTTCGAGAGCGGATGGTCGTGGCTGCAAAACAAAGGAGAGGCGTGGTGATTGATTTGATGTAAAGATGAGATGGAACGAATGAGTTGAGCGATGCAGCCTGGATGGGACTTGGGCGGCGGATCCGGATTGGAGAAGCGCAGGCTGCTTGCGGATTGCTGGAAAGTGGGCTGGGCGATTCAAGTGCTTCCCCCAACATAAGGTGCAAGCACTGGAGCCCAGGCGCCCCGTCCCAGCGCCATTGAGGCCAGCCCAGGGCGGCGGGAGCGACTATCGACAGTGGGCCTAGGGAGCAGCGATGGGTCTGCGCCCACTGAAGTTCGTCGCCTACGGGCGTCTCCGGTGGGGTCCGAGGGTGGGCCTGCAACCTGTTGAGCGATCCGGCCCTGTTAGCATTTACGGTGCACGGCCGCATGTTGCACTAACAGACAGGCATGAATGGCGCGCGTACTGTGTGTGCCAGGGGTCCAATGCAATGGATCACTCGATCCCGAGGGAACGATGGCGAAGGGCGAGTGACGTATTTGCCCCCAAGGGTCATCCAAGAGGTAACACTCAGCTGTCGATGTCTGGGCATTGGTGATCAAATCTGCCTCCCTATGCCGCTGGCATCTCCGAGCCGCCATCCCTCTAGCCCGGGCGCTTGTCGATTCGCCGAGAGTTTCTTGACCTGCCTGGGCTCATACATAAACTCCGTTCGCCACATGCATGGCGCAGCGGCACTTTGGGTTTTTGTAGGTCTGATATGTATACATACTAAAATTAAACTACGCAGCCCTTACGATACGTGGTAGTGATACTTATTATCCTTCGGGTCGGAGGGGTCAGAGCATTAATGCTCTCCCCTGGACATTTAAGACACCGACTGTGTCTCATGCAATATGCGGCGTCACCTATGCGCACAGAAAGTCCTGAGCAAATACTTTGACATTCTCATCCCTTTATTTTCATCGTTCCTATCATAATGAGAGTGGGTGCATCTAGCTATTCGTCTATGCCTACAACCCAGGCAGGTAATGTGACATCGACCCCAAAAAGAAATCATGTGAACAACCAGAACAAAAAGACACAAGACCGACCGAAAAAGGACATCCCCCCGAATCCGTAAATCAAAACAGGCTATATAAAACAACACCCATAAGACTATATCAATTCTCTCACCAGCGTAGTGCCCTAGAGGCACGGGGCAGAGAAACAAACGGCTGATTTACAGGTCCTCATCCTCGCCACGACCACGGCGGTAGCCGCCTCGCCTTGCCCTCCTTTCCTCCCTCTCCCTCTCCCGCTGCTGCTGTCTCAGCTCAGGCATAGGGTGATGGTAGCTCTTGGTCCCGAGGTCGCTGTTCGACTCGAGCAAACTCTCAGCCGCCTGACTCTCACTACCGACCACGGAGCGCTGGAAACTGAAATCACGTCTGGCAACCCGGTTTTCATCTCGCTCACGTCGCGCCTCAGCTCGAACACGCTGCTGTTCGTTGCGGTCGTTGCGGTCCGCCGTAGAGTAGACCTTGCGGATACCCCGTTTCTCCTTGGTGGGTGTGCTGGTTGGGGTACTCTCACGGCCTGACAGGAGACTGGAAGAAATCGTAGAATCAGCTGGATTGGTTGAGCCGTCCCACTCGGAGCCTTCAGGCACCTTGTTCAGGCCACCGACGCGGGCCGGCTTCTCATGGCGGTAGTTGCGAAGTTCGGCCTTGGCCTTGGCCTCGGCTTCGGCATCTTCAACACCTTCCTCTCCGACGTGTCGACGGCTGCTAGACTTGTCGCCTCGTTCCTTGCGGCGGCGCTCACGCTCCTGGTCGCGCTGCTCCTTCTTCTTCTTTCTCTTCTCACGGGCCCCGATGTCACTTGCTCCTGCAGTGATTCCGGTCATGCCCGTGCTTTCTGTGATGACAGTTCTTCCATCGTAGTCTGCAGTTCTTCCATCGTAGTCCACAGTTCTTGCATCGTGGTCCGCAACGTCCTTGTACACGCTGCCGCCGCCGAGATCTGTACTCTCCGTTGCCCCGGAGAGCACAGTGCCGTTGGGGCCGCGGCGCCTAAGAACGGTAGTCTTGTAATCATCCCAGTCGGTTTCCCTGAAGTGGAAACCTCCATTCTTCGCCCAGAAAAAGAACCAAATGCCCGTGACAACAAAGGCAACACCGATGAGAGCGAAGAGGACGAAGAATCCGGCGTTGTTTATATCGTGAGGGTCGAGAACACCTCTGGACGGGTCTTTCGAATCAGCGCGTGTGAATAATCTGTGTGTCTCGGTAAAGGAACCGCTGACGGAACCAAGGTCCTGAGTGGGAGCCATGGTGCTTGTCGAGGGCTCCGTGCTGGAATGCGGATATGACTGGAGTTAAATTCCGAGCACTCGGATAGGTAGGCAGGCTGGTCAGGCTTTACCAGCCCAGCTGAAGAAAAATCGAGAACCAAATTCCGGTTGGAATGATGAATGACTAGAAACCCAGGCGGTGTAACAACTGAGGGGCTGAACTTCCCCAGACTGTTCTTGGTTGAATGTGCCAAATGTGTTGATTGTGATAATGGTGTAGAGGGAATGGGTAAGTCTATCACCAGGCTGGTTGGGCGCCTATTCTGCTTGCGAAATGGTGCTCCAATGTGCCGTTTCTAGGGAAACCGAGGGGTTGCGCTGGCTGCGCGTTCCCTTGTCGATGCGGCTGCCGACGTCACCGCCCAACTGTACGTATTAAACCAAAATCAAAGGTGAGCCTTTCGCGCGGCATGCATTTGATTCATGCATTAGTATTTACCAGTATTCTGTTCCTATCTCTCATTTTATCCCATAAATTATTCTATACTATTCCCATAAGTAAGTATATTCTGCCTTGAGTGGGATGTAGGCCTGATCTGGTCAGGCTCCCAAGTCAACAAACCGGGCATTGGCCCAGCAACTGGCGCTTACACCAATATCGGTGGGTCCACCAGCCAATCGCTTCACCGCACTTCCCGTTTGGTTGTGGTGCATGCCATTCACTGTTTCAACTTTCAAACGCAATATCACGAATTCATGCTGGTCAATCAAAAAGATAGGATGGGGAGAAAACGGGGGGAAGCCACCCCGTCAAGCCATTTATTATAATCTACCCTGGTTCTAAAGGGCTCTAATAGATGCCGCTCTTTCTCTTTTGAAGGATTGCCATCAACTATGCTACCAAGAGGTGATCCATCAATTAGATGATCTAAGATTCGGTGAATGAACTGATGCCAAGTCCGGAACCCCTAAAACTCCCACAGCTCTCACGTCGGCGAACGCTAGGTACACCAAATGCCTTCACAGAAGGACAGGATAATAGCGTACATCAGGTGATAAGTCACCTGGAGGGAGTCATATAGTGTAGAGACAGATAAGGTCAAAGAAATGAAGAAGTGAAAAAGAAAACATGATAATCGTTCTAAAATATGTGAAAAAGCGCAAGTAATAGATGGCATGCCCATGGTAAGCATTAACATCTTGAGGGGCGCGAACCCCTGTTGCCCAAACAGTCTAACTCGGTGATGCTATCGGTGTTGAATGGAAATTATGCCCTCCATCCATTGCCGTGTTAAATGACTGCGAAAGTGCGATGCCCTCTGAACTCTTCGTCCGCCAGCATGGACAATGCGCCACCCATGGCCAGGTAGTATATAAATGAAAGGGGTGTTTCATCAAACTGTGTAGTAGCTGACTGTCCAGCTGGACAGCCACGCCTGTTCAAGTGACACACTTCCCTATCCAGACATATATTTCCTGCCAGGTTGCACATAGCCAGCTGGTAGCATGCCGAGATTCGAGAGGGACACAAGCACAGTTCAACACTAAAAGGACGAATGGACGGAGAGGTAGGACAAAGACAAAAGACACCTTCTCCCACAGCAACGCTTTTTAGGGGTATCATAATTTTGGTGCCGTCATCAAGACGGTAACCATGATCAACCACCATCGGATGCGTAGGGATCTAGTAGTCCAGAATTAAATCTTCGAGAAGTAGATCCATGACTGCCCAATAGCAGAAGCAATGTAAACAAAAAATACCAATGTGTACTTGTAAAGCCAGAGGAGTGAGCTGATAATGTGAAACGGTAAAATCAATACCATCAATGTATTGAAAAGGCTCGCAGTGGAGCAAGTCAATTTTGGTGAAAAGGAAAAGGAAAATCCCAAGAGTCTCTCATCTTATCGTATCGTCGTTATATTCGTAACCAAGAAATAAATATGGGTAAGAAGATTCATCTTCAGTAAAAGCTCGGGAAAGGAGACTCGTATGGTGCATGGCTTGGTGCGTATCCTCGGCTTCGAGCCTCTGAGTGGCTCGGCGCGCGAGGCCTGTGAGGAAGAGCCTTTCGCTCGATGCGGCTGCGGCTGTCCTCAAGTTGATAGATGGTGCTAGCTTGGTCAGCACCGAAGCGTGGCATCCCGTTACTAAAGGTAATCTCGCTATCTTCGCATTCAATCTCCGCGTTGCCAAGCCTGACTACAGCTGCACCCGAAACTTTGATAGTGAAGTCCTCGCCATTCGATGATTGCGTAAAGCCTGTCGTATTGCTGCGCTTATAATCGCTATCATCGTGGCTGCCACTGCTCCTTGTGGATCGGCTGCTGGCCACCTCACCACGTCTATTTGCCTTGCGTAGGCTCTCCGCAGTAAGAGGCATGGGGGATACACCGGAGACATCGTCCTGATACCGGAGGGCGCTCATGTACTTGTTGTTGTCATCTAGACTGACGCCTCCAGTGCCAAGAGCATGGGAATTGTAGACGCTGCCGCGTCTGCTCATCCGACCATTGATCGGACCAACGTCGTATTCCTCGTCGTCATCCTCATACATTGAGTCACGACGTTGAGGTCGAGATAATGCCATCCGCCGAGAGTCGTACGAGCCGTTGTCTAGCATAATGTCCTGGTAGAGTCCATCGTCACCCAAGAAGTCGTCATCCTCGTACGCGTACCCAGGCGCTCTGCGGCAGGGCTTGGACCTAGACGCTGTTCGGCCGTGGCGAGAGGATGGGCGATTAGGAGGAGGATGGAAGGGTGTCGAGGAGTTTGCTGTGGTTCTTGGTCGCATGGGAACATAATCTGGCGGAGGCATTCGCTTTCTATCATCTTCAATCTCATGCTTCTTAGTCCGAGAAGTGCGTGTTGGTGGCCTATGGGTTGGCTCGTCGTCATATGCAAATTGCTCCTGCAGATAGCTGCGCTGGGATGGGCTGAAACCCAACGCCGAAGACGGTCTGGTTTCGAAGCGTGAGCGGAGATCCCTGCCATGCAAGGCTGGCGGGGGTCCATTGTCAAAGTAAGCCGACATTCCGCCTGGAGAGCGAGTTGGCGGTCCTGAATGAACGCTTGAAGGGGGAGGCATCATAGGATACATCTGAGGCGGAGGAAATGTGCCGACTGAGAATGGTGATGGAGGCGGTGGTGGACCATGGCCTGGAGGAAAGCCCGTTGCCGAGGGTGGGGGGCGAGCAGATTGCCCAGAGTAATAACTTGCAGGTCTGGTGCTTGCCCGGGGACGAGAGCCAGCAGGAGGACCGTATTGAGGAACGCCATAGGTCGATTGGTCGTCGTAGTTAGACCTGTGGTCTGGCGGTGACATCATCGGCTGTGTGGCAGAATGCTTGGGCCCGGAAGGACGGACCTTTTTGAGAGCCTTGGTAGACTCCCTTTGGGCCCTCTCGATTGCCTTTTGTCTTCTTTCGTCTTTCTTATCTCTTTTTCTCAACTCCTCTTGGCGATCAGCTTCCTTTCTGCGAGACTCGCGGGTATCTCTCTCCCGCTTCTCGCTCCTCCCCTTTCGAGAGGAATGTCCGGTGCCATCAGAGCTACTTGCAGAGGATGTGCCCCTTCTAGCGCTAGACCGGTACTTGTCCGAGCGCGACTTGCTAGTATTTGGGATCTCTTTGGCGGGAGGAGGAGAAGGGGAGTCTGGAGGCTCCGACATGGCGTAGACACGGCTGCGCGCGTTGCCTTCTGGAGAGCTATCATCGGAGCCTTCACAATCCTCCACGAAGGCGACATTGACCTTTGATCTTGATCGAGACATTGTGGTTGTGCCGACAAGAGGTCAGATTTGGTTCGGTTGTGTTAATGATCGCTCCAAAGGGAGCTTCAAGATGTGAGAGGGACTCGACAGCCCCAAAGAGGTGGCCGCGATGATGCGGTCGAAACAATGGCTTCGTTGCGATGGCTGCGTGACTTAAATCGGCCTGTCTGGAGGAGGCGGTGGGCAGACGGCCTTTTTTTGACCTCGCGGGTAGTGGACGGGACGACCCTTAGCGGTGGCGGTTGGTCAAAGTAAAAAACCACAAGGTTCATTCGAGAAAACGGTCAGGATTAGGTCGTATATATGTGGTGATGTTGAGAGGAATGGAAGGACAAGCAACCGCTGATAGTGAAATGTTGGAGATAAGGCCTGCCTGGGAGTGTGCACGGAAGTGAGGGGGGGAGGATTGAGCGTAATGCTTGGGATCCGGGGGAGGGATGTTTTAATAAAACGGGAAGTCGAGGGTACAAGTATGTGGGTGGGCCCAGTGGTGTGGTGTGAGAGGTTGAAGGGAAGCTGGGGGGTCACAGCAGGCGGTTTTAATCGCCCACAGGGACGCAGTGGCAGGGGAAGCGCTAATGGATTAGGGACTGAGCAGACCGCGACTACATGTACCAACCTGGGTAAAGCGAGACATGCGCAGCCATCCAGTACCCGCAAAACAGCGGGCAGGAACATGCAATTCTGGTGCCGAGCGTCGCATCAAAGGCCTGCTGCATTGGAGCAGTCGGTTGAGAGACCTGATTGCCTCCCCAAGCCAAGGCGTTGCTGAAGAGAGGAGGGACGGAGTACCGAAGAGGCAACGGCAGGCTTGAAGAGGATGGGGGGTCACCAGAGGAGGGGCCAGGGGTGCACGCAGCGCTCAGGCTCCTTCTCTGTGCATTGCAGCCCCATTTAAAGCAGGAGGGGGTGAATTGACAACGCAGAGCTGGCAAGAACCACTGGATGAGTTTGGGAAGCTCCTCTCGCTGTCAGCCACGACCTGGATTCCCGACTGACAGGCTGGACTGACGCTGGGAGCACCTACCTTGGGCATGCCCGACCGCAGTGCTGCTTTGGGCCATGTGTGGAATTGCCAACTGGCCCATGTGTCCTATCGCTCAGCAGATGTTCCCAGATAGGATCCCGTTGTCTCTCGAGAGGATGGATTGACGCCTTCACCCATTACCTTACCACTCACTCACCCCGTGCTTCGGTAGCACGCAGCAGCCCCCGACCTCGCTAGCTCACTCTTGCCTAATTCTCGTCTGTGCTTTCGCAGCTTTCCGCCCTTCCAGTGGCCTGATTGCCTGACGTTCCCTTTCCGCACCTGCCGCAAGTACAGTGATAAATATAAACGCCTCCAGCAAGATCTTCAAACGGGTGGAGAGATCCTTCGTGAAACTCGCTTGTTGACATGTTTGATGGCTAATATCAAGACTTGGCCGCAAATCCAGGATGGGTCTCAACAGCATCAGCGCCGTAGGTCTTAAAGGCACCCCCCATCCAGTTGGTAGGGTCTGGACGCAGCTTGTACTATAACACCAGCTTCGCGTGTTTGTCTTCGGCCACCTGATTCTCGATATTTCCGACCATTCGGTAGGTAGATGGCTTATATCTGGAGTTTTAAGCCTCAGAGAGCAATTGCAACTGAAAATTCAGCGTCTCCCTACCCTGGTTGTTCACGCATTGATGGTACAGTCTACGCCTCCACCTGCTACAGACAAAGATGTGCTAGCCATCAGTCCAGCAGAGCACCCCTAAAATCCGCTGGCACGTCCACAAACTGGTATCAGGCGAGAGAGGCAGACACTAGAGGCATTTCTCCTTTACGTACCTCAGCTTAATTGAGAGATGTAGCAACAGAAGGGGGAAAGTAGGAGATGGCGAGAATTGGTCATCAGCATATCACAAATGAGGCGAGCCCGATGTTCCAGGATTAGGCCTGTTCGCCGCTAACCATATCGCAGGGGTTGACCTGGGGAGTGGCATCATCAGCGAGCGAGTCGCTGGTCGGGACTGTCGTACCTATCAACCCCTCCGGCCAACAAGCACTTCAGCCCAATTGTGGGGAGTCCGGCGCGGACACATTTGCAGAGGTTGGCCTCCGGCCCTCCGTTCCTCGCGTCTGCTACTGTAGCCATGAAGGAGTTGGTTTTACGCCAACTGTCCAGTTGGTTGTATCAATCCTCCTATCCAGACGAGCTGGGTGTGGTGGAGGTGGCAGGCCCAGCGGGAATCGCCCAAGCCGTGGCCATGAATGGGCTAGGGATCGCCTCACTCTATCGTTGGACGAAATCTCCCAGACGATCAAAGAAGAAAAGGCCACCAGTCTTCCTGGCCAAGGGCCCAAGATTGATTCTTCTCCACTAATTGAAGGCAGGGGGGTCGATCGTGGAAGTGGGGGGAACCAGACATCCCGAGCGAGAAAATCTCTTGCCACTCATGGCTGGCTGCTCACAAGATATTCGGGGTCCTCTTCCTCTACAAATCTGCCCGATGTCTTGATTGTGTGCCATCGTCTATCCCTCGCCTCGTGGTGTGGTGTGGTGGGTGTGGTTGGGTAGCAACCACTGCTATCTCCGCCACGACCACGAACAGATTTTCTAGAGGCTGTGGCAAATGCTACCATTTTTTCTGGATCAGATACTCCAGCGAGAGTCAATACGCCAGTGTTTCGAGGGAATGGCCTGGGCTCACAATCCTGCCCCTATCCATCTACGTATACGGTGATGCAGTCATGCAGGTTGTAGGGCTCGACTGGTTGGTCGTCAGAGACGGGAAGGAATGTAAATTGTGACAGCCAACTCATCTCAACACGCGACCGAAGCCAATCAGATGGCGCTTCGTCATGCACCTTTCCAATGACCCTCTAGCGAGGCCCTAGACCTGCATGTTCACCCCCCCGAGTCATACATATCTCCGCCCACCAGACTTCCATCCTCGAAGGCTAAGGCGCCCTGGCATCACGGTTGTCCGCCTCTGATACATTGAGGATTCTCGAACTACTTTCCCCATTCGCACCCCTCCTCCAGGCGTATGGGCATCACCTACCCTTGGCGAAGGTGCCCGAAGGACTTGGAGCTACACGTCTCCGTGATGGCCCCATGCGCCGTTTCCCGCCCCGGTCTCCAGGACATCTCCGGAGGCAGTTTGCTCTTCCCCTCCCACCACCTCCGTCCGGCACGTCCATTCCATCTATCAAGTTGGGAAATGCCACGAAAGTTGCCACAAACAAGGCCCTTTTGCCCTCATATCGGCTCGTGACCATGGACGGTCGGCAGCTTCAACATGATGTATGTTCCACCTGGAGCTCTGGTTTATCCAATCGCTGAAAGGCATGGCACGCCCCCCATCCATGGTCCTGTCCTCTGCCCAAGACACGTCCGCCACGCCTCCAAGCGGAAGCAGATGGCATCAAGTAACTCGTCAGCTATGTACGACTTGATACGATCAATAGGTCGATTTCGGTCAGGATGACCCATCTCGTTGGCCAGAATCTGCTTAATAATGGTGGTACAGCCTCCAGTTGCATCTCCTCGTGCATGCTTCTGACGTGACCAGCGACTTTCAGACCACTTGCGATAGGGTGGACGGCCTCGGATGCCAAACATCCCCAAAAAGGAATTTCTTCCTTCGCGTCAGATCGTTGTCAGCTCGCACTGGTAGAGCTGATCTTTGCCTGAAGGATCCAATATCATGCATCTTGCTTCTGATAAACGTCGCCGATACACATCGCTGATAAACATGGTATTGAGAACAGCAAAAAGCAGTCAATCAACCGTCCCAAGTGACATGAGCAGGCACATACATGCTGCTGGAGGTCACCAAAGTCTTCCTGCTCGACGTCCCAATGCATCATGACACGTATCTCTATCTATGTACATATGTCTCTTGACGTCGGTCCTGGGCTCGTTCTTACCGACTGCATGACGGGGGAAACCGAAATCCAGCTGCGGGTGAGGCCAGGTCTGTCTTCGGATGCAGATGGTGTGCCTGAAGAGTGGCTGGATCTATGTATTTGCGCACCATCGAGGGGCATCACGTTCTGCGAGGAGCATAGGCGCAATGCCTCGCTAGCAGATCCCCATCATTGACTTTTGACGCACTTGGTGCCCGGGGAGACCTGGTCAGGTGCTTCTAACGATGCAAGCCATCTCATATACCTGCATATGAGAGATGGCGCCGGGCTTGGGGGAGGTGTTGCAAGAGTCTGCCGCGACGAGCGCGGGCATTGATTCCAGAGAATTCTAGCGTTTTCTCCTTTCTCGAATCGTCGTAGCAGCGGTTGTGGGGGAAGCGAGCAAGAGATAGCCATACTAGGCCTTTGCCTATGCAAGACTCGAGTTCGGCAAGCTGACAATGATCGCAGCGATCATTTTCGTCACACACCGCCTTTTGGCAGGATGTCCAGCTGCCGTCGTCGACGCCGACGATGCCACCAGAGCGCATGTTGACGCCACCTCTGGGTGGTAGAAGCCATATATCATAATGGAAAGGTTTGTTTTTTTAAAATAACACAGTCATAGACATTGAGTGCTGCACCGGGGCTGTCATTTCGATCCAGGCAGATCGTCTGTCTGCTATCTGATCTGTAGGACTGACTGCCGGGGTGGGTAAGCATCCGCTCTAGTCTTGCATCTAGACTAATACCCCAACCTCTCCTTTTGAAGATCGTAGTCAACAAGTTCCTCAACATCCATGGACGAACAGGGTTTTGGAAGATGAGGCTAATGGGTAGTACGCACTAGCGAACGGTCTGCTGACGGTGGATGGTGGGCTTCCAAGCGGCGATCTGGGACAGGTTGGAGAAAGGCAGCCAGTGCTCGCATCGATTCGATATGCTTCCCTATGCTATATATGCTTTCGTTCGATATTTATAAACGCAAAAAAAATCCGGGTATATATTTACATACATGTCGTCCTTCCCCGTAGATCTGGAAGAATAACCCACTAGTAATCATAATCATTCATCGCAATTCATGATCTACCTAGAACATGAGCCAGATGATCCTAGGGCAGAACCTCCATGTCTGCAACAACCGGCCTGTGATCTGAGATCAGAACCCCGTCCTCGAACTGGTTCGCCAGAACGCCGTAACTCTTGACCAGGGCCGTGCGAGGCTCCTTGATGAACAGGAAATCAATCCGCGCAGAGCCGTACTCCGGCTCGCCGAAGGAGGTGTACGTCAGCCTGTTCCCGTACTTGCGAGAATCGGGCACGAGGTCCGCGATGTCGGACATGCCTGAGCCAGGGGCCGTCATCCTTCGGTAGGAATCGTCGTCCGGGGCGCTGTTGAAGTCGCCGCCGATGAGGACGGCGGAGACCTCGGCCTCGCTGGCCGCGCTCCATTCCTTGGCGAACTTGATGAGGAGGTCGGCGCTGTGCTCCCTCGCGATGGCGCCCATGTGGTCAAAGTGGGTGCTCATCACGATGACGGTGGTGTTGGTCTGGCGGTGGGCGAACTCGCCCATGGTGACGATGCGGTTGTAGTAGGCGTCCCAGCCCTTGGAGGGGCGGTCGGGCGTCTTGCTCAGCCAGCGGGTCTCGTACCGGGTCAGGCTCCAGGTGCTCGAGCGGTAGAAGATGGGGGAGAACTCGCCGTCCGTCTCGCCCTTGTCGCGACCGCGGCCGATGTGACCCCAGCCTGCGCCCAGGCCTCGCTGGACGTCGTGGACCTGGGAGTCGAGGGCCTCCTGGAGACAGATGAAGGGGCTGTCATGGCCCTCTGTGATGAATTTCAATTGGGTGACGAGTCTGGGGCAGCGGACGTCCCACGGCTTCTCATTCGCGACGGGGTGCTTGGACGCATATCTGATATTGTAGGTAATGAGGCGTAGAGGTAGCGTTTCGTTGTAATCCATCCCTACATGTGTTGGCGGCACAGCGGTAGTATCGTTGTCAAATTCCAGTGGACAATTAATCGGCGCTGGCGCGGGATAGAAAATGAATCCAGGGTATTGAATGGCCAGCCATGAGACGGTCAATCCTAGTATGGCCGCGGAGGCAATGAGGAAGATGAGGGGTTTGGTTGGGCGCATCAGGAAAGTCCTGGGGTTGAAGCCGGTCTCGGCCATGGCGGGAAAGCTTATTCGCCTGGCGAAGATCTGTGAGATGGGGGAATAAGCAACCACTCTCGCCGGCAGTCGCGGCTGGACCACGGATCAGGCTCTTCTTATATGAAAAGAAGGATATGAGGTCCGGAGATAATATCGCAGCCTGGGGAAGAGCTTGCAGCCGCGTACCTCGCTGAGGCGCAGGGTGAGCGGGCAGAGGGTCTAAAAAGAACCTCGCGGCATCCTGCTATCAACGGGTCGCGGGAGTCGCGGAGGGCACGGAGGCACAGGGACAAGGTTGCTGGCGCTGCAACATCGTCCTAATCAAACCAACGAGAGCCAACCGATCCGCACGGGTCTTGGCCGTCTCATCGGCTGGTCATGGGGATCCAGAGTGCCGCTTTGAGCTTGAGTTAACTGGCTAACGTTACGGGAAAGCGTTGCTAATTGGGAGGTTAGGTCAGGTAGCGTGAGGTCCGTTGCTGGTCGACGACTCATCATCGCCGTGGGAAGTGGTGGAAACGACGGCTGGCATGATGATGACGGGCTGGCGGGCAGGCCAAAGGGCTTAAAGTCCGTTGCCTCCGAAACGTGGCGATGAAGCATGAATTGACGCCAAAGAACCGTACGTTGACTAGCTCTGCCGGAGGCCTGACACTTACGTATGTGCCTCCATCCAGGCTGCGAGTATTTACAGACGCTGGGGCCGGCATGTGTCCAGGGTCGGAGCGGGGGATCAGGCTTGACCGTTCGCTGCAACGGGTCCTCCACATGCCAAGCGTCTTGTCAAGAACCAAGTGCAGCATGGGACATTCCCCTCAGTCTTCTTGTCCTCTGGCATTCTGATTTACTGGGATTGCTATTTGGTGACTTGCCCAGCTCTTGCCGGCCCTACCGTACACCCTAGACAACGGGCTACGTTAAAAACCTCCTACCCCTCTACAAAACTCACGGGACTCCAGTCCTGAATGTGATTATATAAGCTATTAGTTAATTTTTAGGTGAGTTCCGTAGAGTCCGATCACCAAGTAAGAGGTATCTAGCGATTTCAATTATAAGGTGGTCAGCGACGTCATCCCTTATTAGGTACCCACCTCCCCTACAACACCGTGACCTCGAAATTGACACATTTAAACAGTATCCTGCTGTATTTTAGATTTTGGAGTCTGTGAACGGCCTTGTCGTTTTATTGAGGGCTAAAAATGCATATTCAAGAGGCAATATCATACCGCTTGACATTATATATCTTGTTCATTGCTGTATTGCTTTGCTTATTCTAAAAAATGCTCTGCTTAAGACTGCTGTTCAATTTGATGCCTTATTTCGTCGGTCACCCAGCTGCCTATGTTGGTAGGTAGCAGATGCACTGGGTATCATGATCATTGCGCTTATTGGAGACTACTGATTTTTAGCCTGCTGATACATGCTTGGCCACCGATAAGCTCGCGGTCTCGTCAATTCAAATCAATTTGCGACATGCACCACACCACGACGGTCATTGTCAATCATTTTCTGCTTCCAGAAGCCATCCATCCTTATCTTCAGCTTTCAGCCCGCCTCTCAAACCTTGAGCTGAAGCGGACTTGCCGTGAAATATTGATCGAGTGCTGACAGACATGACCCATTCCTCGGGAATGCTCCAGAAGGGGTGGGCTCGCTGAGAGTATTTATCTGTGATTGTGATTGATGTGTGATTGTGACAGGCTGATGGGTGAGACGCCCGCTAACTAACCTGTGCTTCTTACCCCCCCTCGCCCCTCCATTCCACAGATATCAAGTGGTTCCAGGGAGAGGGATCTGATGATCACCAAGTCCGAACGACTGCTCCACCTTGCACTGATCGACATCTTCATGACTTGCAGCCGAGGAGGATACGGCGGGAGACGAGGCTGCTGGCCAGGAACCATGCATCGCAGGTCATGAACCGGAAATGCAGGTTCAACAACTCTATTCAATTTCCCGATCGGACCATCATTTCTTCGATCCTAGAATTGCATCATGCAGGTTGGCATTTCTCCAAAAGTCGCACGGCATGACCAGAATACCCACTCGAGCCGCGTCGATATTCAAGTCATTCCCAGCCTTGGTTTGGCTGAGAGTCAGATGCTGAGCGTGATGGTGGGTTCCATGTCTCAGCTTACGGAGCTGCATGCCATCGCCAACCATCCGTTCACGACGCTCCGTGGCTGGCGGAGCCCCCCAGACTGGTCTTCAGCTCGCGGCTTCCCCTCTGTGGCTTCCCCAGTTGCCGGATCAGTCGCACACACGTTTCTTGATTGCTGAACTCATGCCCAGATGAGACACTTTTCCCGTCCAAATGCGACTTGGAGGTTACGAAGTGTGCATCCTCTCACTCCCCAGGCACCCTCACGTGGACCTTGTGCCCCGCTCCAAGTACGATGACCACCCACCCTCTTCTTCTCTGACTGACCAGGCATCGCTTTCTCAGAGCGTGACTGGAACATAGCCCGTCTTCCTCGTCAATAGTTGCGCAGCCTTGCATATTGTGGCGGCGATGAGTCTTTGAATCCTTGCTTTACGCCCTTTAGAGAGGTAGCCTAGACCACATGTTCCCACTCTTTTGTGACCTCCAGCCCATTGCCGCACCTCTGCGTATATATTCGCGCCTTCCTCGAGGCTCGCAGATGTTTCACACCTTTGATTCCCTCTCTCTCTCCTTAGATTTGTCTACTACACAAGATATATATCTCCTGCTATTTGCTCTGGCCCTTTTCTTCTCCTGCGCCGGTGCTGCCGGCGTTTCCATCCCCACCCCTACCTAACGCTGCCCAACACACTTGCCATCGGGCCATAGACAGAGCAAAGCAGTACCCTATCATATTACCTACTATACCTATATATCCAGGATGCCTTTCCCACTAAACATCCCAACTGATGCGGAGATGCGATCCCGCCGGGATTCCTTTCCCCCAACCCAGGTTAGGGTCGAGGCTCCCAAACCCGGCAAGACGAGGAGGCAACAGGAGGACCGTCCTTTGCTTGACGACATCGACGACGATCCCCTGACGTACTTCCTGACACCTACACCCTCGTTTGAAGATGATGAAGAAGACATGGAACTGGACGGGCTGACCTTTGATGCCGGCATCGAGGACCCCAGTCAACCGCGGGAGATCGTCCGCAGTGTAAGCCCCTCCTCCCTGGATGGCGGGTTGAGAAGCCCGGGAAGCAACAGGTCGTCTTCGCCCTGTTTCGATTCCGATGCCACTTCGGGCGATGAAGACGAGGATGAGGAATATATCCACTTCTCGCCGAGCAGCCCAAGGCTTACACCCCTGCGTGATCTCTACCTCGACGGGCTGGGTCAGAGACCCCAAAGCCCACTCTTTAATCGGAGCGCCAACGGCCTCCTGTCACCAGCGTCGTTCCCCGCCATTCGGGGCCGGAGTCACAACAGGCCCGTCCGCTCACGCAGCTTGTCCGCCGCCCGGTCGAGGAATGCGCGTGTTTGGCGTGAGCCAAGCCCAGACGTCTGGTCTATCGAGGAGGAGACGGAGGAGGAGCTGCAGATTGAGAACAGCATACACAATGGAGACGGATTAGAAACACAGGCTGCAAAGCCAAAGAAGAGGGTGAGATTTGTGCTCCCCAACACCAACTAGATTTTTGTTTTTGCATTTGGCTTCTGTCTGGAGGCTATAATCCCCCCCTTTTTTTCATTTCCGGTTGTCTGCATATTTGGTCCATCATTTTTTTCCGATTTCCTCTTAATTTCCTTTTCGTTGCATTGGATGGCGTTTCTGCTCTTCTTGCATGGTACAGACACATACACGGCGGCGTTGATTCATCTGGGACTTTGGATTTTGCATGTGCATTGGAGATGGGGGGCCTAGTCCAGGATGGCCGGTCTATCCTGATTTCAATGCACCTTCTCATTCATCCCGCACCACTGGCACTGGATGGCGCCCGTGGTGCTCGAGCTGGTAGTTTGCATTATTCGTCACTAGTGGCTTTTTACATAGGTCAATATCAATTGTGAATACTTATGTTTATGTTCGTTCCGGCTTAGCGGGTGCCTCTCACCTCCTACTTGAATTGGTGTGGTCAGGCGGGATCCGTTTCGACAGGTGTGCATGGGTGACTAGGGACTTCGTATGTTTGAGGTGTGTGAGACATGCTGGGTCAGCCGATCAGGGAGGAGGGGTGATTGGGACGTTGATGTGGAATTCGCGGCATGGCTTATAATATACGAAAAGGGTTTTGCGCGGACAATTGCGCAGCTGGACTATGTACGTCATCGTCATTAAGGAGGTAGGTTACACAGGTATTAGAATGCATCCTAGGTAAAAGGGGAAGAGAAAAGAAAATACGAGATTCGTGACTTCTCGTCCGTAGTCCGCAAAGGAAGATCGAGATTTCGGAAATCGCATAAAGAATGGCTGGGAGCCTGAAAAATCCCAGGCCTATCGGCACGTCGATCGAAGGAGTTTTCGATCGAGTCCGGCCAGTCCGACCAGGTTGACCCGGCTTTCAAGATTTTTTAGACACCTGTTTTCGTGGGACGAGAGGGGTAATAACACGGCATTTATCGAGCTATAACTACACACTCATTCATGTAGGTGTGAGTTGTCGGTCTCCCAGCCTCCCGACTCCAGCCATGGTTTCGGAGCGTGTGGCTTTCACTCACCGATCAGAGAAATGGCCATGCGTCAATTGGACCATGGTGGTGCTACATGTGCGCACAGCATGCATGATTTATTGGAGTTCACAGCTTCTGAGACTTGCTGCTGGAAGATGGAATAGCTGAGCTGGTAGTAGCTGACCGACGGTTCTTGGGCTGGTTGCTTGCTGCCTCCATGAGGCCAGTATGTCGCTGCGATTGGCTGGGCGGGTAGACATGGTCCCGGAGGTGGTGGAGACGGCGACGGCTGGTGGGTGGAGTGGATCGATCGCCTGGGTAGAGGTACATAGATTGTATCGTAATCTTGGAGGCATAGCATGTAGCTCTACCTCGGCCCTCCTCAATGTCCCTGGTGGTGCATTGCTCTTGCCGGCAACTGACGTTATTGTTTACCTCGAGGCTCCAAAGCGCCTTCCTTGCTTCCATGCTTTGACGCCTACGGAGCACCACGGGTCCAATCTTGGCTCCAGGGCCCCATCGGTTGGCGTGCCACCCAAGCCAAGACCCAACATTAGGCTCATCCGCCTCGACGCATCAACTTGGGGCGATGAGCTGCAGAAATGCCCCGAGGCCACTTGCGCTGATCCCGCCGTTCTGTATTATCATCCATTGTTTTGCAACATCAACAGCAGTCCTTCTTTCCCCCTGTAGCTCCTGCACTTTTCCATTGGGGCCAATCGATCGGCTCATTAGGTTTTTTTTTAACCTTTCCAGTTCGCATAACGCCGTTCCAACCGGGCCGACATCTCTCCCTACCAAAGAGCTAAGAGGCAGCCCAACGTAGTGGCGGGCAGAGCTCCTTCGTCAGCTGTCTGCAATCGTGCCTGCCGCCCTCAGTCTCTGGTTATGCTGGCATAGGACACAAAACCGGGCAAATATTGCGCAGTATGCTGTTCGTCTGAGGTAGGTCGATTGTCCATGTATTTTTTTTTCTTTTTCTTCTTCTGTTCCTGAGCCCCTCATCGGAGCTGGCGGGTGACGGGGGCATTGGTGTTACTGTTTGTTATTGTTGTGGTAGGTAGCGGTGCTGATCCCGAACCAAGCTCTCCAGACACAAGTTACCATGACAGCGCCCAGCTCCAAAGATGCGTCGCCAGAGCCGCAGACGCCCGGGAAGGAGCCGACGACAGTAAAGCAAGATGCGGACCCGTCGACGCCCACGAACAAGCCTGCGGTGGGCAAAACAACCCCCAAGTCCGCTCCTGCTGCCACCCGGGCACGCGCAAACTCCAAAAAGGCGGTCGAACCACCGACTCTATTGCAAGACTTCCTTCGAGGCCGACCCTCGCCCGCACGATTAGCGGCGGAAAGGCAGCGCAGGCAGAGCGTTGAAGCGGTCAAGGCAGAGCTCCGACACGAGATGAAGCAGGGGGCTGTCAAGAAGCTCCAACCTCCTGGAGGTGTCAGAGATCGGGTGAAGGCATGGCAGAAAGTCAATGCGAAGGCCTTTGAGGACGCAGATCTTGACGAGGCCGCCACCGAACCGACAGACATCGCCTTTTCCGGCGAGGATTTCCAGAGTGTCACCGAGGAGGACCGTATACGGATCAAGATGCGGCAAACGGTGAAGAACAATGGCTTGAAAACGAAGCCTGTGCTAGGGCCCAACCCCAACAAGTCAGATAAGCGTAGCGATGACAGCGAAGACGGTCGCGAAAGGTCTCAGTCACCACCAAAGAAGAGGGTCGTTAGTGACGACCACTGGGTGACGCCAAAGACCCGAAATAGCCCCCCGAGACGAACCTCTCCAGGGAGGGTAACAGCAAGAAAAGTATCACCGATCCGAGTGGCCCCGATCCGAGTGTCTGCAAGAAAATCATCCGCGAAAGCCGGGAGCAGTTCGCCGTCTGGAGGGTCACCCCTTCCGAAGAACTTCACTCTGAACACGCCCAACCCGAATGTAAATAAGAAGATCAAGGCCTGGGCGGAGAATGTTGAGGTTCCTGACACACGACCGCCCCGCAGCTACAGATCCTCAAGGTCGAGGGAGGGGAGCCTGAGACCGGAGGGCGCGGGAAGCGATAGGACATCTGATAGGGGGGACACATCGAGTCAGGGTACACGCAGGCAGTCACTACGACGCAAAACACCTGGCTCTGTAGACTCGGGCAGCATACGAGTCAGACCCATCAGAAGGAAGAAACCGGTTGATGACGCCAAATCTCCATCACCAGACACGGCGAAGAGGGATGATGATGGGATTCGAGTAACGCCCATGGACTCCCCAAAGAGCACGCCTGCAACCAAGAATGATGACGACGGGATACGAGTTACGCCAATGGACTCCCCAATGAGCACACCTGCATCGAAATATGATGACGATGGGATCCGGGTTAGACCCGTGGACTCTCCCAGGAATACGCCTGTATCCAAGAATGGCGACGATGGGATCCGGGTCAGACCGATGGCCTCCCCCAGAAACACGCCTGCCTCGAAGTCGAGATCAGTATCGCCGTCTGCCCTCAGCTCAGCCTTATCTGCATCAACTAGAACAACCCGAGACCGAAGCAAAACTCGACCGATGTCACGCTATGCAGAATCAGAGGAAGATATTGTGGTCACTGTGGAATCTACTGAGCTGTCTGGAAGCTCACGCTCGACTGAAGTCCCACGGTCACGCCCAGTGAAGAAAGCACATGATGATGGAATCGACGTAATTGAAGTCCATGAAGATTCAGATTCTGCCACAGACACGCCTGCCAAACGTAAAAGCTCAAGGTCGCAACCCAATACGAAGGGGCGTCAAAGGGGGCATTACCGTGGAATATCGAGAACAAGGGATGATAAATCATGGATTGAAGAGAATCTGACAAGCGTCGATGGTAGTTCAAAGCTCGAATCCGAACTGTCATCGAGTATTGCCAACAAGTCAATCGCTGACATTCCAGGGGAGATACCCTTCGGTCACTCAGCTTTCAGCGAGCTGGATTTATCAGCGGATGGTACGGGGTTGCGGACTCGGCCCAAGCGACCCAAGGCGGAGCGGAATACCAGCCTCAAAGGCATGCCCGGAGTATTCAAGAAGGTCATGGAAGAGGGCAAGAAGATCATCCATGATATCAACCACGAAACGCCACAGAGGAATGCTGCAGCAAACAAACCACCAAGCATTGAGAAGTGGCTGAACAATACAGTGGATCCTTTTGTAGACAGCCCAAAAAAGGATTCCAGCCCTAAGGAAAAGCTCGAACAAGAGACTGAGAAACCGGATGATGCCGAAAAGACTACCAAGACTGTTGCTGAAACTCATACGAAAGCTCCTGCTGAAACTCCGACCAAAGCTGCGACTGAAAAGTCCACAAAGCCTGCTGCCGAGAAGCCCACAAAGACCGAGAAAGAACCCAGTCCTGAACCACCTAAACAGGTTTCTCGTGAACCGGTTTCGGCCAAGGAAACCCATAAGACGCCGAGAAAAACATCACACGAGACAAAATCATCATCAAGTTCCTATTCTAAATCCAAATCCGACCTTACAGATGGGAGGTCGACCCCCACAAAATCAAAGAGCACATCCCCTACCTCAGATAAAACCCCTACTAAATCTGAGGAACATGATTCCGGGGGGCTCAAGAGAAGACGAGCTGTTAGAACCTCTGCTCAGCCTTCCAAGTCAAGCCCTCGCCGGCCTTTCTTTGGCCTACTTAAAGAAGCCTTCCAAGGGGAATCCAAAGAGTTGCCCAGACCGCCGACCACCTATCAAAGCAAAGAAGAACGGAGATATGACTATTATGATGACGACTATGATGATGAGACCGAATATCGTACTGTCTCAGGTTATGACGATTCAAGACTCAGTTCTGGATACGATGAGAGATACGACGAGAGATACGAAGAGACGGTATCAGGCTCTGAAATTAGCTCCTCCTATCTGACTGAGGTGACTGCTCCCAAGATGGCGGGACCACGATTACGACCACCCACAAACGGCAACCATGAACTCTCGACTATCCTGTCCGAGGAAAACTGCAGTACAATCGAATCTGATCTATCATCAGGCATCTCTCGGACAACAGTGACCCAATCTACCGCCTTGACCAAGGAGAGCGGGCTCTCAAAGTCGAGAAGCCAAAGCTCCAGCCTCAAGAGGCGACTTACGAGGCACTCTGATTTAGTATCAGTTCTCTCGCTGCCCAACGATAAAAATATTCCCGAAACCCTAACATTCTCCCGGTCTCGGCCTAGCTTGCGAAAGACACGGAGTTCAGCCACAGATGTGTCCACTGCGGACTTGCTACGCGAATTCTCTGATGATGAGGTCCTCTACATGAGAGAATTGAAGACACTTGTCGATGGTGTGATCCCAGTGCTCCTGACGCACGTCGTTCAAGACTCCAACCCAAAAGCGTTTTTTGACAAAAATTCTCCTACAAATTATCGAAGTAATAGCCTGTCCAAATCTGTTGTGGGCATGGGCGTTGCTCTCGAAAAGATCAGAAGCGCCCATCGAAAGGCACCTCACACAGATCTCAAACGTGTGGCTCACTGGGCACATGGGATTGTGCCCATCTATAACAGCTACTTGAATGCATGGCGACTAGGATTTCATGACTTGGTCGTCAACCTTGCCCCGGCTGAGGGTGTGCCGGAAGATGAGGATTCTCTCCTCAACGCCATGCCGAGAGATGAAAATGGCGATGTTGTTAATGCCGAGGGTGAGAGAGTAGACGTTGGCCATCTCTTGAAGCGCCCGCTGATCCGCATCAAGACTCTGGTGAAGCTGGTCAGCTGCTTGGATTCGATGATGCCATCGGAAGACACTCGTGAGCTGTTGAATAACTTTGAGCGGTTGCAAGAAAAGTCTCGTCGTCGGCACAGAGAAGAAACCGCCCGGATGACTGATGAAGATGCTATCAACACTGATACAACGAGATGCCGTGATTTAAGGACTCTGTGGGCAATCGATGACACCATTATTGATGCCAATCGTCAAGTCAGCGCAAAGGACATATTTTCGTTGGATATTGCTCACTCCAATGGGCAACGGCTAGAATGCCAGGTCGAACTCGTTCATAGAGACAACCAAAAACAGACTGGTGACCGAGGTGATCTGCTCATCCGGGAAACCGGCGACGGGGGACGCACCTATTTGCTTTTCCCACCCCTTGCAATGTCGCTCATATCTGCTCGGACAGGCGACGGTAACTTTGACATGGTGATCATGGTCAGGGGTATTCATCACGAGAGGGAGTGGTTTGAACTTATTACACTTACTTCTGACAGTGAGGATCAGATATTGGATTGGCTGGACATTCTACCTGTCAGCCCCGTTCCGCCTAGACAACCCGAGCCGAGTATCATTGACGACGACGATGAACCACGGCAAAGAGTGGACATTCCTGTGGGGGCAAGGAGCATTCGAAGAAAGCGCAATGTCTCACCAAAACTCAGCCCTCCTCGTGAGGAGCGGATGGCCGCCCCCAGACGTGAGCCCTCCTGGACTTATGATGACGAGATTGTGACCCCGACTCGCGGATCCCCGTCTCCAGAAAATGACTTTTACCCGTCACGAGAGAAAACGCCCACCCAGGAAGATTATCTTGCCCAGGAAGAAGAACCTGATAGGAGTCATCCGCTCACCGAGAGCATGCGGCCTGATCCCCTTCAGCTGCGAAGCAGTCCACCAAAGGCGAATCTCAGAGAAGATGGTGCGCCTCCTCCGCCTATTCATCGCACTTTCAGTACAAGTACTTCGCCTGAGCCAAATGCTCCCACTTCATCGGCATCGCCAACCACACCTCCAGTCGACCTCGAGGCTGATGCCAAACTGAAGCGCCGTAACTCATCGCCACTTAAGCATGAGTATCTGCCCTCAGAGGGATCAGAGGGATCCGAGGGCTCATCAGGCTCAGATGAGTCCTACACAGAAGAATCCGACTACGAATCTTCCGATGATGAGATTGAAAGCATTGATATTCCCGAAACCGAGATTGGTGTCAGTATCAAGCAGGGACCGAGACATCAAGATCAGCGGAGTTACCGAGAAGAATCGCCGGAAATCGACGCACCCAATACGTCTTATGTAGCGGAGTCGATTGTAAACGAGTCAGAATGCAGCCTCACACCATCCAATTCTGCTTCACAGGCTGGTCTTCACGATCGACCTCGAGAGGAGAAGGTAGAAGAAGAGAAGACCTCGCAGCAATTTACAGCTCACATCTCCCGATGGTCCGATCGAGGCACGTGGAAGAACATTTCGGAATCTGAATGCTCTGTTGTGGTCGGGCCTGGCCTTATCGAGGCTTTCGTTTCGAACGTTCCTAGTACCGCCAATGACCCGCCACTTCTGGCAATGGACCTTACTCCCGTGGTCCTGATTCGCCACAGCACTGCACTCGACGTTGAAGTTCGATCATCCCTCCAGTCTCACTGCCAGATCTCCAAATCACTAGGAGGAGGTGTGTTCCGCTTCCGATGCTCTAATGCAGCGGATAGCCTCGGTCTGTGGAGAGCGGTTCACCACGCTCGCCTTAATAACCAGAAATTCATCCAACTGGAGAACGAGGCAAGATTCAAGAGCTTTGGTGAGCGCCAGGGACCTGTCGACGTTGACGGCAACTCGAGCACCCGTAAAAAGTCTTGGTTCGGAAGGAAGAACAGCTACCGTAGCTCTGTGCGAGCACCTGCTCAGTCACTGGATGGTGCCAGTACCAATGCATCATCTAGTCTCTCCGCAACAAGCTTCCTGAAGAGACTCACAACTGGCAACATGGCATTTAACCTTGCCCGCTCTTCGGTGGACAAACAAAGCCGTCCTGGTAGCGCCCGAAACAGTTTCTATGCCTCTGGGGAATCATCTGCCAGCGGAACCCCCCCTCGCTCGCCCTCTATCAGCGTGGAGAATAGTGCCCGCAATGCCTCCAACTTGGACAGTGAGAACATCCGGATCAGACTTCATCTTCTCGTGTCTGCCACCAAGTGGGAAGATTATGGCAACTGCATTCTACAAATACGACGACCACCTCCTGGCTGGCACCAGGCCCTGCGGGCAAACCACGGAATGGAGAAGCGGGTGACAGTGACCACCATTCCAAAGAAGGACAGCGAGAAACCTAAGATATTACTCGATGCTGTTCTGGGCAGTGCATGCTTCTCACCAATGGGCAGTAGGGGCATCGTGTGTGGTATTTGGGAAGAAGTCAAGAACGGCGATGGCGTGGTGGGCATTGCACCCGCAACAGGCCCAACGGGTGGAAACATCAAGAAGTGGTGCTTCCAATGCGCAACCGTGTCGGAGGCCAGCGGCGTGCTTCGCCTTGTCCATCAGGAAGTCCTTCGAGCATGAGCTTAGCCACCGACTGGCATTTCCTCATTCCTCGTGACCGACTTCCTGTACCCTCCTTTTTTCATCTTACTCATATTTTTTTTCTGCTTTTCGCACTTGCATTTCCTTTGTCTGAGAGCGCATTAGTTTGTTTTTGGGTGACAAGAATTGGCACCCCTGTTATTGATATCCCCCTGTGTTTAGGTTGTTCGATCATGATTTACCTCTTTTCACATTAAATGTACATACACGAGTGGTGGGCTTCAGAGAGAGGCCCCCGAAAGCGCGGGCTACATTATTCTGCCTTGTGCTTTCATAATTCTCTTCTGTATATGACGGGAAGAGCATGGTGCTGTACTTAGATGGATCAGGCGTCGGGGTTGGAGTCGGCTGGCTGGGGGCAATAGTACTTTTGTTGGGTTAACTGTATATACATAGACGACGGTTCGAACTGATGATCTACTTCCAAGAGAGTAAATACACAACAACTCTTCACATGCCAGGACCACGCTCAGTCGACCCCTGTCCCGTCCCTGGTGGTCTTGGTGGATGACTCAAAGCAAAGTGGCTGTGCGGAATCTAGCCTCTTGCTGTGGCTCAGGCTGCCATTTCGGTGCTTCCCATTGGTGCTTGATATTGATGATACCCCTGCACCTAGTCATGCAGATTAGCCACAGGCATCTATTACGTTCTGTACGAGGACCAAGGCGAATTATCGCTAGTTTTCAGCCTGGAGAAGTCGTTTCAGTTGGGCTGTGACTATGGCGCTTATATATCCTATAACCTGCTGAACCTGCACTTTCGTGAATTTCCTCCCACATCAAACTTACAGTAACAACATACCCTGGGCATCTCGAAACGCAGGACCCGATCGACAAGAACTGACCCAGGAACGTGTTCGGCCCAGATCCAGTAGTCAAAGCACAGACGACAGGAGCTGGCAACAAACTGCATCGGAGGCCAAAGGAGAGCCGTCAATCACACCACAAGCCAGCCATGGCCCATTCGCACAACACGAAGCCTCTCTGGCTCATCGAGCCCCGGCTCGACGCGGTAGAGTACCGTGACAAGCTGATCGGCAGCGTCGTCAAGCACCCCAAGAGGCCGACGGAGAAGCGGATCCCGTACCGGAGCTCGAAGCTGGCGCGGGACATGATCCCCAACCTGGACCCGAAGCCCATGCAGGTGCAGAACGTCAGGTTCTGGCAGAGGCGGATGCGCGACGACTCGGTGTCGTCGTCGTTCAACGACATCCTCGACTTCTTCGTGGAGCGGGCCAGGTCCGTCAGCCGGGAGAACGAGGCGACGGTGGCGCGCATCTGGCACATGGACTCGCCGGGGGACAAGTTCAAGGACCTGCTGCAGAACAGGGAGTACTTCCAGGAGCTGTTCGACATGCTGAGGGGGGCGGACAACCAGCAGGGGTACTTCATCACGGACATCGTGACGCTGGTGAACCTGGCGGTCACGGACGAGAACGGGTCTTCCTTTGCCGGTGGCGGGGGTATCAAGGCGCCCATCCAGGAGGCGACGGGGATACCGATCAACGTCCACGTGGGTGGGCGGTACGGCGTGTCGAGGGAGCACGGGAAGTCGGTGACGTACGAGGGTGAGCTGGTCGTGTTCCTGGGGTACCGGCGGGTGCATCTGGATAAGGTGGTGGGGATGCGGTCCAAGATCGAGAGGGCGCTCCGGTGGGACAAGCACGGGTTCACGATCAAGGATGGCTTCGACTACTGGCCCGAGCTGGTGGAGAACCCGGTCGAGGGGGACACTGCGCCGTTCATGAATCCAAAGCCTGGCCAGCCAGAGGAGCTGAAGGAGCTGAAGGAGTCGGAGGAGCCGGAGGGGCATAAGGAGGCGGTGGAGGAGATGGGCTTTGACTGCGCTGTTGTGGGCTAGAAGTCTGTGATATGGTGGCTAGAGTCGGGGACAGGAGGTCTTCATGGCCTTGGTTTACGCTGTCTGAGCTTCGTTTCCCTGTTGTCTGAGCTTTGGTTCTTTTAGATGGAGTGTGAGCATTTGTTTAAGTATCTCGATATATACGTTGACCTTTTGAATGCCCTGCAGCGGATCAACAGTTCATGGCTATGTCAAGGATGACGCAGGTTTTGGTAGAATTGACGTTATATAATACCCATTGTAGCTACCTAATTGATAAAATCATGAAACCCCTTTATCCCATACTCACTCTTCTTACAAGAGTGGCTGAAGATGTGTTACCAAAGTAATACAATAACCAACTACTAACTGGCTGAAAGTCATGGCTGGGCATTAGTATCAACATCGGTCAGGGTTCTTTCTCCTTCATCTATTTGCTTTTATGTTAACGCAAATTGATTAAATATATTCAGCAAATCAAGCACGGCAATTTCCATCTTTGAAATAACTGAGCTGACTCTGGCTGGCAAGGCCATCGCTATGCCCCAAAATAGCTTTCTGGAGAAGAAGCATGGGTTTGCGGAAAAGTTCCGGAGAGATAATTGAATTCCGGGTTTCATTGCTCTACGTTGAAGATAATGGAAACTAATGGCAACGGACCGCTCTCCTTATGACTATCTTGAGACATAGGTCTACCGACTTTGTGAATTCGGAGCAACAGATCAAATTTATAAGAAGATCTGCGCCCTGCTTTCCACCTCCCGCTTCTGTGAAGCACGCTTGAAACCTGACTATTCACTTCCTGTTTGGAAAGTATGCCATTAGATTATGCAGGCAATCATGGCACGGAGGTCGGAATATAGTTCTCGTCTAGGGGGCCAAAGGCTGCCACACCCTAGTTCGGAACCCCTAATGTCTCAATTGCCGAGATACCTGTCCCAAGCGGTATTCCCTCCCGTAGAGGGCCTTTGGATGAACGAGCCCCCATCCGTACTGTAACTATCATCTGTGGTTTTCTTCCCCGCTTGTCTTCGACATCTGTAGCAGCACCTCCTTCGATTAACATTTGACTGATACCGTTATCCTTCCTCTGTATGGCGAAAAAGAGCGCTGTACGCCCTTTATTATCCTTGATATCCAACAAGGCGCCTGCAGAAAGCAGTTTTTGAACGCTGGTTTCATTATGGCTCTGCACAGCCGCCATGAGCGGCGTGAGTTCGAATTTATTCTTGACGTTCACCTCAGCACCTGCTTTAATTAGCTGCTCAAGGATATTTGAATTCCCCTTTTGTGCAGCATATAAGAGCGGCGTGAGTCCGTCTCTATTCTTGACGTTCACCTCAGCACCTGCTTTAATTAGCTGTTGGACGGTATCTGGATCCCTAGATCCTGCAGCATATAAGAGCGGTATGAGTCCGTCTCTATCCCCGTCGTTAACTTTAGCACCTGCTTTAATTAGCTGCTCGAGGATATTTGAATCCCCATTTTGTGCAGCATATAAGAGCGGCGTGAGTCCGTCTCTATCCCTGACGTTCACCTCAGCACCTGCTTTAATTAGCTGCTGGGTGATATCTAAATCCCTATTTTGTGCAGCATATAAGAGCGGCGTGAGTCCGTCTCTATCCCTGACGTTCACTTCGGCACCTGCTTTGATTAGCTGCTGGAGGAGATCCGAATACCCTTCATTTATAGCAGTTAAGAGCAGTGCTGCTCTCACACCGTCATCCGTGATGTTTACCTCAGCACCCGCCTTGCACAGCAGCTCAACCATACGGTGATGGTCTCTTGCTGCAGCCCACTGCAGTGGCGTCTGTCCAACTTCGTTGACTATATTAGTATCAGCACCCGCTTCAACTAGCGCCTCAACAATATCGCGATGGCCTTGTTGTGTAGCCCTCCACAATGGCTTTCGGTTGTGCTCATTTTTGCAATTCACCTCTGAGCCCCGGGAGAGTAGTAGCTTGACGATTGGCAAATGTCCATTTTCTACAGCTGCCCAAAGCGGCGTCTCGCCATATTTATTAGGTATAGATAAATCTGCACCATTTGCAAGAAGGAGCTCAATAATGGCTTGGTGTCCTTTAATCGTAGCTATCCAGAGCGGCGTCTCGCCATATTCATTAGGCACGGATAAATCTGCACCATTATCGAGAAGGAGCTCGACAATGGCTTGGTGTCCTTCGCTCGCAGCTCTCCAGAGTGGCGTCTCGCCATATTTGCCAGGTACGGATAGATCTGCATCATTTTCAAGAAGGAGCTCGACAATGGCTTGGTATTCTCCCCTCACAGCCCTTAAGAGCGGTGTCGCGCCATATGCGTCAGGTCTATTCACGTCGGCGCCCCGTTCGATGAGCTGTTGGACCTTGGAGATATCTGGCGATACAACATGCAGGAGAAACATCAACTCTCCATCATCCTTGTCACCCATGCCGCCTTCTTGGTGTGAATCGCTGTTTTCCAGAGCCGGGAGCCCGGCGTTGTCAACATTGAAGGCCGCTTTTATCTGCTCAATGGTGCGCGAGAAAGGGACTACATGTCCATACCCGAACATGTCTAAGCCAACTAAGTGGCCATATATACTGAGAGTCTCTTGATCGACTACGATGGAACCACTTTCACCGGGGTAAAAACCTGTATATTGTCACACATAAGTAAACATATTTTTAATGTTAATTTCATGGGTCACGTACCTTCTTGTTGGTCAAGAATAATTGCCCATGTTTCGCAAAGATCTTGCCCCTTGGAGGAGCCAAGGTAGCTGGGGAGTTCAATCAATCTGCCGGACCTCACTCCGAGTATTCCAGATATCATGAACACTGGAACCGCATGAATACGGGGTTTGGTAGCGACGTCCTCCAATAGGCCTGGGGGTTTCCCGCGTCGCAACAGGACATTGGATCGTTGCCGTGGCGTCAGTTGATAATCCACAAGGCGCAGACATGCCCAGTCAAGATATGGGCTCCGATGAGGTAGGCTGTTTGGAGGTTCGACCCGCTCACCTTGTTTGTGAGAACGGGAGAGCCGGGCAGGGGCTTCAACTCTGGGTCTCACTGGTTCATGGCTAACTTGAGATGGTTCGCAGTTGATGGAGGTCGCCGGTAATTCTCGATCCATCTCGGTGTCATCATGGTTCGAGTTCCAGTCCGTGTCTAAGTCCATCGAGGTATCATCCTCGCTATCGTTGAGAAAGTCCCATTGTTCAATATTGCTCTCGATTGACGCCGGAGATTCTGCGTCCGAACTCATTTGGGGCTTGTCATTTTCTAATTCATTGTCCTGAAATATGTGTTCGACAGTGAGGAGACGGTCTTCCCCATTGATATCCAACGTCAGTGAGATCGTCGATTGACGGCCTTCGAATGCAACCAAAGATCCACACATGGTTACGAGCGAGGAGCATTCAATGCTGACAGGTACACCGGTTAACCTCTTCAATGTCTCGAAGGTAGTGGGACAGAGATAAAGCCACAGGATCGGTTTCAAGTCTGACATCCTAGACAAGCCTCCATCTCCAAATCGAAATTTGTGCGCACGGTCCCAGGTCGATGGTATCACGCAATTATACTCTTGACTTGGCATCTTCTTGAGCAATGAGTTCAGAGACCCCCAGTCTATATAATTGCACATAACCAATATGGATGGCTTTGCGCTCTCCAACGATGATCCTACCATCATGAGCTTATAGTGGATGTTGCGAGCACTATCGCGCAGTGTTTTGTGATAATCGACCGCGTCTTTCAGGTATTTCACGATCGTCTTGGAGCTGAAGTCGTATTCCTCTTCGGACCATCGTTCGCATGCAACTGGCAAAAGAGGCCAGGTTCTCTTTTTGGTCTTAGGATGAAGGAACACGCTGGAGTTCATGTGCTCTTCCAGGCCTATCACTGGTGAGGTCGAAGAAGCGACCGGAGATGGTTGGATGAGCGAGTCACTGCCATCCTTCTTGACCGTTCCCTGTAAATGAGCGTGACCAGCATCCGGCATTCGGCCTTCAATTGTTAAAACTCCGCCTTCAGCGTCTAAGGTTTGGCCGGTGCCAGGAAACGAAGGTGGATGATGTTGAGTTGGAGGAGGATGAGTAGGACGTGGAGCTATCCTACGATCGAGTTAGTGGTCTGACATTGGGTGCCGCTCGCCAGCAATTGAACCCGGGGGAATTACGCTTTGGAGAGTCGCCCAATAGGTTTATCTTCCATCTCGACCTGCGACTGTGATGATGACAGATGGCTCATGTTGGGCTGGTCGAACGTTGCAGAAAGGGAAAGGGCATGAAAGATGGTATGCTTTAGAGGGCAGGAAACGGGAGAAAATGAAATTCGCAGACCGGTCCCTTACGCGCCTCAAGCGGGGTTATTACGGAATGATTTCTTGCCAGCAGTGAGGATGGTTGGCCCAGCCGCTGGGGTGTATGAAAGTGCAAGTATTACTACCCAATGTCTCATGCATGCAGCCACTTAGGTAGTCAGGCATACTCGAAGGCATACATGTAAGTATCGCAAACCGCGATGTGTGTCCTCATCCGTTCTATTCATAAGGACTCCCGCCTCACAGAAAAGAAATTCTCAGACGTACGAGACAAAGCATGTCATCTCAATGTCAGCATCAGAACCCTTTGCGAAATGGCAACTTCTCAGAATAGAACCGAGAAATCCGAGATAGCAAAGCACATATTCGACGAGGATGGTGATTTCCCGGCTTTTTTCAGGTTCTTCGATTATTTACTTCAACAGTACAACTGGCCAGGACTACGCCGCCAAGGACGGTTGACATACAGAGGCATTGGTGATGCAGTGAGTCTTTTGAAGAGCTCCTCTCACGTCACGAATAATGAAGCGATCCAAAAATTGAACAACAATAATGGCACCGCTCCACCAAATCCAAATGCTTTGGATGATCTCAATTTGGCGGTCAACATGATGATCATGGTGGACTGCGATCCCCAAAAATCACACACGCTGGGGTTCACCATTGCCGACTACAGTCCGAAATCATGGAAGCCAGAAGAGACATATTTAGACTTTGTCAAGCGGTCCTTCCCCGCCGATCCCAAGCCCTCGAAGAGGGTACAATGGAGCATAAAGGCTTGGAAGCTGAAGGAGAAACTTGGTGTGGAGTTTCGACCAACAGACGACCTCGATAAGCACTTATTGTATGATTCCAAGGACCCTCCATGTGTATATCTCTTTCACCAGGTTGGGTTCTTGAAAGCTCAGCTGAAGAAGTACAATGAAACAGAAATGCCGTTGGACTTGAGCGTGGACGAATGTCTCGAGAGGTATGCCGTTGAATCAACATAATTCGAGTTCCTCCATTCCATAGCCTTATTAACCCGGTTGTCAGAGGTTCACCCCCAGTACGATTATTGTACGAGACAATACACTCCCTACAATGGCTACTCTTTCACCGAGTCGATAATAAATCCGACGCTGTTTTGAAGGAACTGATTGGTGAAAAAGGCTTCGATCCTGAATGTGCCAATTACGAGGGGTACAGGCGCTTAGAGGGCGACGGCTTCACGTACACGTATTGGGGCGAGCGTATAAGAAAACTCGAGGCGGCTCTGGCCAAACCGCCGCCGCGCACCAAGCTGGGGCGCTGGCTACAGTCGCAGACGAGTGAGAGAAACGCGCTGTTTATCGCGCTATTGGCATTGTTTATTTCAATATTCGTCGGACTGCTGAGCGTTATACTGGCGGCTGTTCAGACTTGGATCGCCTGGATGGCATGGAAATATCCCGTGAAGTGACTAGCTGGGGGCTAGTATCGTTAGAATTCTTCCGTATACCACGTGTGGTCAATCCAATCAAAGAATTCCGATGATTGAATCACGAGGGATTTGAAACCAGCAAGCGTCTCGGGCATGACGTGATGGCATAATTATCTGCTGCAGTGCTACAGAGGTCGACAGGCTGACAGGGCAGCTGATGGCAAACGGGGCAGTGCAGCGAGGCAGCAAGACTCAACTCAACTGTGCTGCCTGGTCAGCTATGTGCACCACTGTACTCACCACTGCACTACCTAACGTAGCACGCAGCACCTGAAGGGTTCCCCCACAGGTACATTGGCGCATGCTCTACCGCTCTGATTGGGCTGGCTCCAGCGAATCAGGTCCCCGAACGCCGTGTTCCTCGGGCGCTGGTGGGCGTTGGCGGGCGGACTGGTGGGCGCTATCGAGTGTGGTGGGGTGTCGCATCCGCCGCCACACAGGAACGGGGCAACTCTATTTGCTCTCTTCTTTCCCGAGGACATGCGCTTGCGGCTCGCTTGGCCCACGACCCCTTCGCCTGCACCCCTGCATGCATTTTATTGGACTTTCTCTTCTTCCCTCCCCTCTACCCATTTAATAATAGTCTATCTCAAGTCCTGGAAGATCCATCTATTCTCGTCAAAGCTCCTCCGAAGCAAGATCCGAAGCTCCACCACCTAGAAACCACCTAAATAGCTGCCTCCCCTCCCTAGCCTACGCAACTGCCCTCGAAATATTTCTCCCGATCACGCTTAATTTTGTAGTCCCTTCTCCTGTCTCTAGATGAAAAACTCCCGAGTCGGTTTCGGAGTCGCGGTATGGCTCGAATAGTCCGTTGAGATGGGCTTCTTCTCCTTCTTAAGAACCCGACCACCAGCCAGGGACCAGCCGAAGCAAACAAAGTCGGCTAAAGGTGCCATCTCTCACATTAATGAAGTCGACCCCAAGGCCAGCTCCAAAGTTCTTACTCCGCGACAGTCGACGGCAACGGCTCAGCGTGATAAGCATCACAGCGACCAAAGCTGGAAACGCACTCCCTACACCAGTCACCACAGGAATGCTTCCTCCCCTCAGCTTCAGTTGACGTCGACCTCTGGGCCAGACCACCACCGCCACGACCCTCAGCAGCATCACCGCGATAGGGTTCAACTGTATTCTGGGGGAGGTGGGAATTTTGCCGCGTCTATGGTGAATCTGGCCAAGGACGCGAGCGCTCTCCCAAACTGCAATGATGGGCTTGCCGCCTGGTATGGATACAGCACCGCACTTGTGGGAACGACCGTGTCAATTTTTGACGAAGTGTCAGTACGGTTGAACCACATCTTGACCGAAATTGACAAAGAGGTCATGACTGGAAACGAACCTGATTTATTTACGTGTCGATCGCCCACCGCCACGGTGAATGATTGTCAGGCTCTAGTGCGGGTATCGTCGGCTGATCAGCAGCTCTCCAAGCCGAGAAACCACCATCACCACCATGAGAGGGAGCCAGGCAGCGGCCGGGGAAAAGATCGGAAGCGCGAGCGATCTTCTCGCCAGAATTCTTCACGTGAGGACGGATACAAAGAAAAGCCCAAGAAAAACGCTCAGCTGGCTGGCGGGGTAGCCACCGCTGTCGTCCGAGGAGAATACTTCTCAAAGGTTGAGCTCTATGCAAATTCCAAGCTTCTAGCGAGCTTGCCCCCTTTCGCTGTGTAAGTCACCCAGTCCACATATCCCCAAAATCCGAATGTGGTGGGAGCCTAACAAGATGGAAACAGATACTTTGCCACATGGCCCCTTCTGTGTCTCGCGGCCCAGTATTCTCAGTCCGTCTACGAGCGCCCTCAAAACCGTGAGAGCGAGGCCCATGTCTCTGCAGATTGGCGGGCTGGCACGAAAGCCATGGTGATTAAGTCTGTTCCAATGGATCATATGCGCACCATCGTCTTCGCAGTCCGCGGTACCGCATCCTTCATGGACTGGACAGTCAACCTCCACGCTGCGCCAACCTCGCCATCTGGGTTTCTCGATGACAAGTCCAACCTCTGCCATTCAGGCTTTCTGACAGTCGCACGTAGAATGGTCAAGCCGGTGGCTTCCCGGCTGAAGCAGTTGCTCGAAGAGGATCCCAGCCGATCCAAGTATAGTCTCCTCATTACCGGCCACTCTGCGGGAGGCGCTGTTGCGTCGCTCCTATACTGCCACATGCTCTCACGATCCAAGGGCGCGAGGACTGATCTCAACCAGCTAACAACATCTTTCAAGCGCGTACATTGCGTCACCTTCGGCACCCCGCCCATCAGTATCTCACCACTCATGAAACCCGACAGGCCAGACCTAAAGAACAGTGTTTTTATCAGCTTTATCAACGAAGGCGATCCAGTCGTCAGGGCAGACAAGGCATATGTCAGAAATTTGCTTGAGCTGCTCGCTTCTCCACCACCGTTATCACTACCTGTGGACAAACCATCAGACATAGGACGGTCCTCTGAGAGAGGAAGGGGCGATCGTACTCACCTAGGCCCGCGTTTACACAAATACAAGTCTCGCCAGGATCTCAAATCCAAACCCACCATCGCGCCCCAGAGAAAGCCCGTCTGGCCTGTTCCGGTTAGTGCCCTTAAGAACGCTGGGCGGCTCGTCGTTCTTCGAAGCGGCCCCTCCGACCCTCGCTACCGCCAGCATCGAGACCGCATGACAGTTGAGGAGCGGTTGTCAGAAGGGGTGGTTGCGAATACATGCCGCGTCGAGCAGTTGGAGGGTATTATCTGGGGGGACCCTGCGGCCCATCTGATGAACCTGTACGCAGGGAGGATAGAGAAGCTAGCCGTGAAGGCTGTAACGATGAGCGACAGCTAAGACGGCGTGTTTCAACCAGCTTAACGACGTGATGCCCCTATGTTTTTACTCGGTTTCCCATGATTTTGCTTTCATATATATATCCAGAACAGCACGATGAAGGCGTTTAATTATTCCATAGCTCGAATGATAGTGTTATGTCTTATTGTTCCGTGGCGGCAGGCCACTCATGACGTCTCCCTCTGTTATTCGTGATGATAGCCAACCCCTCAAACGCCCCGTCTCCAGAACTCCCCCATCGGCAACAGAGATAAAAATGAGAAGAAAGAAACAAAAATTCAACCGCTTTCAGACGCTTGCTGCCCGATTGGCCGCTTATTCGGAGCCACCCACGCGACAACATGACCCTCCCTCATCTTGACTCCATCTCAATCTCCTCTGATGACTCGTCATCCCCAGACAGGCATCGGCAGGCCACATAGCCAATGAACGACATGGTGACCAGGGCGGCGAATGTGATGATGCCACTGACGGCGGCGGGGCTGATTTCTGCCATTTCGCGAGGAGGGATCAGCGAACGTAATTGAGCTTGAGAAAGAATAAAGGCCGAGCGAGGAGGTTCTGGCTTGGTTTGGTGATACGGGGAGTCAACTCACGGCGGAGACCGGCTGGGGCTTTGTTCACCTCAAGATGGGAAGTTCTATGTAGCCGTTTTTGATTATCGTTGACCTGCTCGAGGTTTCTTGACTTGTTTTGTTTTGTTTTTAAACCCTGTTAGCGCTCAACTTGCAAGCCGAAGGGAAGGACAGACCTCGATGGGAAAGGGTTCAAGGTTGGCTTTAAGCTTCGGTGGGTTTGGACTTGTGATGTGATGTTTTGGTTTATGCTTTCTTCGTTTCCTTTCTCTTTCGCATATGACGCAACGGAGTGACGATGGGGTTGCAACGGGGAGCGTGTCATCGGTCTCGCCCTCCCATGCAAGACCCAATGTATAAGCTTGCAGTTGGGGTGAATCCGATGCGTCGCTCCCAGATCCCTGTGTTTAGAATTAAGCTCATGGAGCTTCCTCTCATCAGCTAATCATACCTCGCCATATTCCCAAGTGAATGAATGCTCCAATAGCCAATCCCATTGAGACCGGAGCATAGATTGTTTCAATATGCCTTGGCACCGGCCGCTCACGTCTCACCCTATTGTCGAGGCAGTGAATATCTAACATTGTTTCGCGGCAGGCAATGGCAAGGTAATATGAATAAATGCAAGATTCTGATTCTGTTATATACTTGCTATGTTCTAAACTCTGATTCTCAATAGCTGGCCCGTCTCAAGTAGACAGGGACCCATCGTCAACGCAACCACTGCCAAAGCTTCGCATGAAACGGCCACCCACAAACGAAAAAGGTCAAGGTAGCGAACTCCCATCCTTATGCCACGTGAAACCCAGACAAATCAATCCCAACCATACTCCCAATATATAACAAATGTGAAATCAGTATTGTCGACTATATGATGCTCCCTCACAGAGTAGGCGCTCCATAAATTAGTGTCTCGGCGTGTTTCTTTTTGTGAGCGGCAGGTAGAAACCCTGCTTTTCCACCTCGACGCCCATCATAATCATAAAGTATTGTTGTTGATACTGTAAAAGGGGGTGATAAAAAAGTATGGACAAATAGAAACGTAGTGTAAGCGAAAGAAACTGATCAAAGTGCTGTGTCGATAATGTACAAAACAAATACAATCGGGCAATTATATCGAAGTCCGATCTTGGTTTAGAGATGTTTTAAGAAGAGGGTAGGCGTAGTGATCAAGATAGCCTGCCAAAGTCCATCTCGTTATTCATAGAGCCCATGCCAGCCATGCCACCTTGCGGCGGGTATTGTTGCCGGGGGTCATGCATGCTGAAACTGGCTTGTCTCTGCGTTTGTTGCCTCATTCCCACCATGTTGTTCATAGGCATAGACGGTGGGACGGCTTGCGTATTCATGGGCTGGCTGTGCATGTTTTGCGGTATGCCACCCATGTGATGTTGTCGCATCCCCTCATGTCCTTGATTGATGGGTATATGCTGGTGCTGGTGTTGCGTTTGATGCTGCGCGTGGTTCATTGGGTTTGGTTGTGCTGGGTGGCCCATGGGGCTCATCACCATCTCTGACATTGGAGTACAGGCAAAGTTATTCATGCCAGGGGGGTACTCAACGGTTGGCGACATGATTCCAGGTGAGCTGACGAAAGAGCTGCCTAGATCAGAGTTCTGAGGAGCAGTGGATGGGACACCATTGGAGCTGGTGTTACCCACTGATTCCGGTGTGCCGGTGCTCAGGTCCATCGCGTAGTTCTTATCGTATTCCTCAACGGGGAACTTGCGATCATAATCGCTGTCCATGGCGAGCTGGAGCTGTGGAGGTTGAGCCATCCCGGCATTGCCAAAGCCATCAAAGATATCGACGTTGGCCATGTTCGGGTTCTCGGGGGCGTTCTGGAGCATTGGGCTGACAAGTCGAGGCAGAATTTCGTGTGCCTTGCTCAAAAGAAGGGGAAGGAAGCGGTGGTCACCGTTGCGCGACATAGCGACGACGCTTAGGAGTTGGTTCATGTGCTCACGAGGGCCGACAGCGAAGGGGTCTCGCGAGGCGGGCTGAAGTGAGAGAAACTCAACAGCGGAGTGTGTCACTTCCAACAACTTCTCAATCTACGCAATAGTTAGTAAAAGTTGTCTTGCAAAAGAGCCAAGTGATCAGCGCGGGCTACATACCAGTCCTGAGTTTAGGAGCTCCATGCCCTGGCTAGGGAATTGCGAGGCCATGCTCATCAGCAGGTCCCGAGACATATTGCCGGAATACTGATAAGACATGGAGTCGTCATTCCCACCGCTGACGGCACCGTTTGTAAGCTGCCAAATGGTGCTCTTCAGCCATTGCTGGTTCGTATGGGCATCAGTAAAGTTGGCATCCTGGCAAAGATAGGACTGCACAAGATCGGTAAGCTGCTTCTGCAAGCCGGACAGGTATTGCGGCGACAAGTTGTGGCGAGCCTTGCTCCAGGTGTTGTTGAAGGTGTCGTCAAAGGGCTTGAAGAGATTGCTTAGAACGACAAAGCCGTTGAGCTGATGAGCAAGGGGATCCATCATGTCATCATTCACTGTGGGTAAATTGATAGTCGCCTGCAGGGTTAGAGGACGGCTACGCTGGAGTGCATAAGCCCTAGAATCATCGTTAGTCGGGTTCTATCTAGGAACAGTGGGGATGGCTCTTACCTCTCGGTGGCGTAGACCAGCCAGAATAGTCGGCGACGACGTGAAGCTTCCACAGACTCGAGCTTCATATAGTGATCCTCCTGGTGCATGCCAGTCAGGTGGATCATGGTGGAAGCCTCACGAAGGTAAAACCAGGCACGATCGTGCGACTCCAGTCCATAGTGGCATGCGAAGAGGAAGAAGTTTGTGGCCAGGACGTTCAGGCTGATGGAGTCGAGATATTCGTAGCCTTTACGCACTTTGATAGCCTCCTCAACAAGAAGCTGGCTCGAGACGATCGTTGCTCCTGGTAACAAATCGAGGTTGTAAGGATCACCGGAAGGCATGTTCATGCCAGGCTGGAGCATGACGAAGGCGCAGAGCGAAGTCAATAGGCAGTAGGCGTCACGGTTCTGCTCCATGTAAAGCACCTGCTGCTCCACAGAGTTACGGTCGAGGATCGGTAGCTGTGGGTATAGGTTGTCGAAGAAGAAGGCGATGCACTCCTTGACCAGTTCGCTGGTCAGTAACCCTGGGGTCGGGGCCAAACCGGGGTTGGGTGGTGAACTTGGGCCTCCATTGATTCGATTTTGGACCTTTGCTGACAGACTCGTTTGTCGTTGTGTCTCTCTCAACTCGCTAATGACCTTGGCACGGGAACCTTTGGGTCCCTTCTTCTGGGGGATCGCATTGTAGGTACACGACAGCTGAGCCTGACCGCAGTTGCGGCATGGGTTGACACCGTCGCACTTGACCTTGCGACGATGGCAAGCATCGCAAGCACGCTTCACGGCCTGCGTCATGGTGGCGCGTTCCGTCCCTCCGGCCGTTGAACGAGACTCGGTGTGTGGACTGCGATGTCACTAACGGAGCGAGATTCGATATCGGGTGTTGCTTTTTCGGCAGTACAGATCGCGTGGCAGGTGGAATCGGTGCAACGTGACGCGGTTCGCGAGGCAGGCGAGGATTATAGGCCTGAAGACGAGGTTTTCTGAGGTCAAAGAGGAAGGGGGGCCAGAGCAGACCCGGGGAGGGCAGAACTGGGGTTGTTGATGGGCAGGTTCGCGTGCCTGGTGACGGGGTCGACAGCCAACCTCTACTTTCCCCAGAGTATTGCTGTATAAGCAGTATCGAGAGGCAATTCCCGGGAAAGAGTCTGGGGAATTTGCGGGGGTTAACACCGTCGGGTGGTGATGGAGTTGTGCGCTTGCAGGAGTTATCGGCCCTTTCTCTTCTTGCAGGTCGGGGGGAACCGCTGGCGCAAGAAATCCTGGTGCGGGCGCTGAGGCAGCAGAAGCCCACTGAATAGGCTCACATACAGAAAGGCGAAGCGATGGCGAAGTCGTTCTGCAGGCTGGGGCTCGACGAGGGTGAAGCAGCGCTGGAGGCGTGATTCTGGGACGGGATGGATGTGGTTGGTGATGGGGATATAATACAAAAACAGGTTGAGGAAGAGATGAATGGATGGAGACCAGGGCGGGGAGGACGAGAGAAAGTGGATTGACAGAAGCAATGGATGGAGTGAGTGGCAGGCGGGTCGAGATTTGGGGGGGGGAGTGATCATTGGGGGAAGGACGAGGAGGTCAGGGCAAGGGTGGGTTTCACTGCGCAAGCCTTGGGGACGTTCCCCATAGCCCAGCTGCTAATTGCAGTGGCTGCTGATTTCTACTGGCTCGAGGGCCTTTTGAAGTGGGTCAGCCCTGGCTAGCCGGTACCTCGACCAAGTACCGGTTGCTAGCGGCTGGCGGTTGTACCGCTCTACAGTGCATCTTTGCTGGCAGCAGCCCACGCTCAGGTCTTGGCCGGTTTCTCTGGAATGTTGTGCCCGCGACAGAGACGGGACAGGCGAGCGACAGGCTAGAGAACGGGGGTCCCCATTGGCCCAGCGCTTGGATTAGTGGGCAGGCGGGTCGCGCGCACAGTGCGTCAACCGTGGCTGGCGCAGGTTAGCCACGGCACACAAAAGTGGGACGGAAAATTGGACTGGTCGCACCTCCAGCTGCTGCATCTCGTTTGTGTTTGGCGGATGCACGTCAGGCGGGATCAGTCAGATTACAGAGTGGCTGTGGCCTCTGGTTGCCTGGACCAGACGCCCTGGATCGTAATAACCCACAGGTGGCATTATGTTCTTTGACGTTACGTGGGAGCTTTTCCTCCTTGCGGAATGGCTAGCTGGCCTGCATTAACGGCAGACACAATTACGCCAGCCAATCCGTCATCTGTCATCTGGCTACAAAGGGCCCTGGAGGCTGGCTGTGCCCTAGAGGCGTCAGTCCGGCCATGGCCAATCAATGCGGGCCAGCAACACGAGACACTGTGCGAGCGACAGCCAGGGTGCAGCCCAGCAAACAGTATGGTAACATCGCCTCTTATCCCACGTATTGTATGTATATCATCTTGATCATCGTCCGTATTGACCTGCATTCGCAGAGATGCTAAGTGTGTTACAGAGGTCGTGATCGCAAATCTCACCGTCGATCCTCCCAAAAATAGTTGGGGCGAACTGTGCAAGATCTGAATTTTCACAACCACTTTGCAAATCCCGTGTGCAAGAAACTCTAATGAGAAAGCATGCATATTATAGAGTTGTCCCCGATACGCCCACCAGTTCACCCCAATGGCGCGAGTCTCAGCTTTGTTTTCTCATTGGGGGGCTTTATCGAAATCCTCAGGCGATAGCTAGGCTGCCAACTAGCTGCCAGTGTCTTAGAGCCCGTTGTCTAGGCTGTTCGAGTCTCGGATCGGACTATGTCGTCTTGCCAGCGAGGAGCTGCGGTCCAAGACATCCACTCACAAATGTTTGATTCGTCCCGTCATCGAGACCCTGTTTTCTCTTTCCGCGCCCATAGTCGGAACTGGAATGCAGCTGTGTCAGAGCTGCATGTGCCGCTTGCCCGAGACTATAGCATCCTACTTGTCTTTCCCTGGGGTCTTGTGCTCTGGGATGGGGTGCAAGAAGAGCGGTAGGGATAGTCTGTCGCGAGCTCTGCAGCACCGTGCCCCGTTACGCCGTGTGCAAATCAGGCTCCGCACGGAGAAGGGGTACTTGCACGTCGAATCTGGGTCTTACCGGACTGGGGCAAAAGCTAACAAGGCCTTCTACACTTTCGACGGCCAATGAGAGTTGGTGGAGACTCCGCCGTAGTGCACTTGCGAGAGCCAATCCGGGCACAATCCTCCAGGGGCCTCCCAGCAGAGTCCCCCAGGTCCCCGTCCTTCACACTTTGCGGAATCAATCACACGCATGAACCCCTACCTACTCGCAGTGGAGGGCGACGCCAGCAGTTATCGTCGAAGGGTGCCACCTATATTAATATAGCCGAAAACATAAATAGTGGCAGCGGAAGAGAGGGCAGGAGAGAGATCGATGAGATGCTCTGGCTGCCGCGGGCCAACGACGTTTCTGCCAAGCCGCTTGCATCGTCATTGTCTTGTGCTTCCGCTATACGTCAGTGCCGGAGTCGCCGCTTTTCCCGCTGTTGTGAGAGGTGTGAGGGCACTGGCTCTGGCTCAGGCGCCAACCACTTAGCATGCAGCACACTCAGCAGCGCCACCTCTGCACTGTCATCTCCCTCCTGCAATACCGTGCAGTCTGACAGCGCAAAACTGTCGTAATCCTCCTGACTCGATGGCTTTTGCAAAAACGCCATCTTTTCCCCTTCGTCGGATAGCGGCTTTCAATTACTCTTGCGGGTGCGGTTAACGCCGTTGCAATCGGAGGCTCCCTCCTCAAAGGTCCCAACCCAGCCAGTGGTCCATGAGGCGGACGACGCCGTTGCTCATCTTTTTTTCTCCCACCCACCTCATGCATCCATCACACATGCATATTAATTAATATCCAATTTCTTGGTTTGACGCTTCTGCACTCTCTAGTTCCTAGCTCGCCAGCCGGTACGTAGTGACATCTCCCTTCAATTTGCGGAGGGGAACTGCCCCCAGCACTGCCGCCCCACCGCGTAGGCCAGTTCAAGTCTGGCGCAGTTGCGTCGGGCCGATCAGGCCATTCCCCAAGGCCAATGCAAGGCTGACAGGTCACATCAGCGAATGGCAGTTCGCCTCGATCGCCCCGTCGCCCACTGATTGGCCCCGGGATTTAGCGGCCTGCGGCGGGCAGACCTCCAGGTCTAGACTCGAGAGCGACGTTCGACGTGATACGCTTGCCCAAGTAAACTTTGAGGATCGGGCTATCCGCCTCGGATGGCAGATGCCATCCAGAGTATGCTTTAAATAGTGCCAACTCAACCATACTCCCTCTTCTGCCGTTAGCCCACTTGCTAAGCAACTCAATTTGGCGCTGTTGACGCTGTTGACGTTGTCGATACGGGCAGACCGTTGAGCACAACGATGTCACGTGCCCATTGGTACGTCGTCCATCTCGAGCCGTAGATCAACCGAGAAACAACAATTTCTCCCAACTGGGCAGGCCGCTGCCATATCGCGCTCAGACCAGCTCCTTGTTGATCTTGGTCCTTCGCTGCTGCTACATTTGGCTTGGATTACCCAGTTTAGCAAACGAACACCCATGGAAAGGAGGCCGTGTGGAGAAATGGAAAACTCAGGGCCTTCGATAGACACTGTGGTCCAAGATCCCAATCACAGCATTGTTATTTTGGGATCTAGCCACCATGTAAGTCGATCAAATGGTTTACCAGAAACCAAGGCAATGATTGGATTTGATTGTCGCCCACTACGGATAATAAGTGAACCCTAGCCTTCTTGTCTAGGCCATCAGGGTGTTCGCGGATCGTGTCTGAGACGACTTCATTCACTGCCTTCTGCATCGCGATCGCTGGCTGATCCTGATCCATGACCGAACAGACCCTGAACCCTAGGGGTTCAACATCCGACCTACCCTGACTCACGCCCATGTATTCCAAAGACCCTTCATGCGTCAGGATTCTCGTAGATTGGCGCTTATCTTCCAAGCCTTCATACATCAAAGACACTCCCAAAGCCGCAGCAAAGTGCTTTGTCCTCCAGTCTCACCTGCTATTTGATGGACTAAAGCATTGGAATAGTTCCTACACTAGCGCCAGAGCCATCATCGATGGTACTTCCATCGCCGCAGGGACCGGTGGTCCGTGATAACGCACATTTCGAGTTACGAGAGCCATGGTAACTTATGCCTAGAAGCTGAACTCATCCCGTGTTCACCGTGCGCGCGCTTCGCGGAAGGATTACCGCAATAAATATCATTTGTTCATGTTCTGTATTCTAGATCCTCCCCTATACGCGCTCTTCATCCCGTGCGTGAGACCTGTCCTTTCCGCAACGACTTCCATTAACAGAAGAGAGATAACCCGATACTACCTAGACTCTTTCATCCCGTCTGAGTAAACATAGTGCCCATACCCGACACTCCCAATCCTAAAATGACAAAGAGAAACTACGCAGAGGAGGAGTAGGAAGCGGAAGCCTCCTTGTTCCTCTCCTGCAAGCTGCTGGGATACCTCCAGAAGAACCAGGCCATGGTGAGCGTCATGAGCGACGCATCAAACACGTAGACGCCCCATTCGATACCGAGGAGATACCCGCTGCTGCCCATAGCATACTCGGCAACGCGGAAGATGTTCCTGACCATGACAAAGGCCGAGGTCACGTACAGCATGACCAGGTTCTGCTGCCAGGGGACGTGCGACGCCCTCGCCGAGGCGGAGTGGTTCCTGAACCGGACGTTGAACACGATGCCGGCGGCGATGTAGAGGCTGAAGATGACGATCTGGAAGATGAGGCCGCCCACGATGATGTTGGTCCCCATGTTGGGGTTCGCCTTGCCGTCCCCCGAGCTGGCCTGGACGCGGAG